AACCAATGTCATAAAACAACATGTGTACTACTGTTTCATGAGAAACTATTTGTTCTGTAAGCCTTCACCTGAAGTACAATAAAATATAAAAAAAAACAAAGAGAAACTTCTTTTCCTTTTTCTTTAGTAAACTGATTTTGAATTCTGTGAAAAGAATACATGATACAGTTCATTATGCTGCACTAGATATTTTCAATATGCTGCTAATGTTTCATTTTTCTTTAATAAAATTGTGGTGTTGATGAACTGAGTCCATTAATTCCTTCATAATTTTATTAACTAATACAGTAAATATTTATTAAGTGTACTATATACTAAAACTTAGCTGTGAGCTCGCAAGACACAGTTCCTGTGCTTTTGCAGCATATAGTGTAGTACTAGGGAATAAGAAGGAGTCCCTGGGAGTCACGAATGGTTAAGCGCTTAAGCCCTTGACTACTATCCAAAAGGTTAGCTGTTCGAACTCACCCAGAGGCACTTCGGAAGACAGTCCTCATGATCTGCTTCCAAAAGATCACAGCCTTGAAAATCCTGCACACGTGGGGTCGCCATGAGTCGAATCAACTCTATGGCAACTAACAAGAAGAAAAAGTAATCAGGGCCCAGGAGTATTCTAGTGGTGCCCCATATTATAATGTGAAGTTACTTATTTTACACATATAAATTACCACTGATAAAACTACCACTTTTTGAAGAATCATTGGGACTGCTATTCCATCATCTCTCAAAAATCATTGGAAAGGCTCCCTAGCTAACCACCAAAAACCCATTCCCAAGGAGTGGATTCTGACTCATAGCAACCCTACAGCACAGAGTAGAACTGCCCCTTATAGTTTCCAAGGAGCAGCTGGTGAATTTGAACTGTTGGCCTTTTGGTTGGCAGCAGAGCTCTTAACCACTGTGCCACCAGGGATCCTAGCTAACCACAGGATGGCCTAAATTAGTATGTATGTTAGATTGAAGACACGCATCAATTGAGACCCAATTTAACAGTTCTGTGGCCTTTATAGTCCATAATATGCTTAATGATATTTCTTCTGTATTATACCTTGCTTGAACTGTACAAAGAAAATTCAAGGCTTGGATAAGTAAAAATACTAGATCTCATTCTCTTATGACTTTCAGTAAATGCTCTAATTATATTTTTGTTTATTCTCTATCTTCTCCCATTACAATTGTAAACCTTGTGTGACAATCATCTGGAGCAATGTTTGGAACTCCATAAATATTTGCTGAACGAATAAATGAATGAATGCCCTTTTCAGGGCTGTAAGGAAATAGAATAGCCATTTTAATATATCACCTTTCCACTGAACACAAGTCAACATACCTGCTATAATATTGTCCAGCAGTGTTATGGGCATACAGAATACGCCAACTAGTAAATCACCTATTGCCAGGTTCAAGATGAAGAGATTAGTGACTGTGCACATGTGTTTGCTCCTCATTACAATAAAGCAAACCACTATATTTCCCACCATGCACAGGAAGAAGATCAGAAAGTAAGAAATAATGAAGATCGCTGTCACTTGAGGCTGGTGAAGATAGTAATTCACATAGGTGACATTGATATCTGAGTACAGATCATGCTTTGTGCCATTGACACTCCAGACGTGAATCCACTTTTCTGAAGAGTTGGAGTCCCGTATCTCACTCATGATGGATCTTAACAAAAGAGAGGCAGGAAAAATAAAAAGTATAATTAGATATCTTTAGAAAATAAATTCTGAGCCTGAGTTTAACGACACTTCTAAAGTGGCATGAAATTTTGACGGATATTCTATAATAATCCATTGGATTTGCATAGAACTGAGTTACATATAAGGAACTCAGGTTACTAGGATTTTAACCAAGAACATTTAAAAATTTCATTTTATGTTATAACTAATAATTATTATTACATCTTATTACCTAAATATACCTTATATTTCACTTCTTTGGTCATATCCTTTATCCATTTGCAAAATCTCCTTCACCCTCCAAAACTCTCCTTTGCCCTGCCTCCTAATATCTTAACCTGTCAGATGTACTTGTTATTTAAGCCTAACTTACTTGTCTTTAGCTTTCCTGAAAATCTGAACAAGATGTGGTCTCCACATCTTCAAAACACCCGTAGAAATAAGCTTCTTGTATTTTCTTTATTCTACTTTGACTCAGTAAATCGCATATTCTTTTTATACACTTGTGTTTTCAACATAGCCACCATATTGTGAGTTCCTTAAAATAGGACTAGGCTACTTATCTTGGTGTCACTTAGCAAAGTTTCATTCACATAGTATGTATTCAATAAATATCTTTATTTTGAACCTATACATCTTACTGCAGACATTTCAATCAACTCTCGTATGTTGGTTGTACCTATGACAACCCCCAGGTTAGATGATTTACTAGAAGGACACACAGGACTTAGCATATAGTTGTACTAGGAACTAAGATTCATTTGCAAAATCAGCCAATGGAAAGGCACATAAGACGAAGTATGGAGGAAAATAGGTGCACTCTTTCAAGAGTCCTCTTCCAGTGGAGTAACAAAGGATTTGCTTAAATCCACCAGCAACAAGTTGTGGCAACATATCTGAAGCACTGTTTATCACGAAAGCTTATTAGAGACTCAATGATCAAGGTTTTAATTGGGGCTAATCACAGGGGCACCCTGTGTCTAGTGAGTATCAAAATTTCAATCTCCCAGAAGAAAAGCAAGTATTCAACTTAAACCACATTGTTTGTACAGTCTAGGTTTAGTCAGCCACACTTATCATTTAGGAAAATTTTTATAACAGTAGAGGAAACTGTTTACTATTTAAGTTTCTAGACACTAGCCAAGGGCCAACCTTGCAAGTAGGACTTTCTAAAGATAGCAGTCTCAGGCCTGCTAATTTAACATTTTTCTATAGTTCTGGTTAATTGGTTAGACAGAAGGTTATATGTATCTATAAATAACAAAGAATTTGACATTGGACTTGTACAATTGAGCTTCCATTTTCACATTTTTTGAGTATTTCATGGAATTTGAATAGGTGTGAATAACTCCAAATGGGTCTGCTAAATGTAGCTAATCAGACCCAAGTTTGCAGAAGTTCAAGGCATTTAGTGACCTCATTACCACTTAGCATTTCTTGATCATTCACCAAATGTACATTTGTGTAATTCTAGGGGAGGGGGCATGTTTATTCCTATAAATGCTATTTAAGGACTAAGATATATATTATTCACTTCTAATGTCTGAATTTGGATAGTTTCCTCATATTTTGAGTACAAGGAAGAGTACAAAATAAAAGCTACTGAAGAGAAATAGTAAGTCAGTAAGAAGGAATCATCTTTCTCCAATAGGTCCCATTATTTTGTCATTTTTTCCTTATACTGCCTCTACTTTTTAAAATTACTCTTCGATTTCCTGCAGTTTATATCCCTAAGCTTAGAGAAAAAAAAACAGAAACATAAAGATGAAAAAGCAAAGTGAATGTGGGCCGGGATGGGGTTTTGGAGAGGAAAGAAAAAGAAAGGACCTTGAGTAGGATTTATATTCTCTTCTACTAGTCCAGCTGAGTGTGTCTTTTGTGTCCAGAGGCTGACACTGAGGGTACCTGCCACCTTGATGAAAAAGCATTTCAATCAAAGTCTCCAAAAGAAAAGTGTTCACAAAAATATTTAAAGATGTTTGTACCTAAAGAAATACAGTAAATACAAATGAGAACTGTGTGAGGAAATTGTAGCTGGCTAAAAATTATTGATAAAAAACATCTGCCACAGATTGTGTTACAGCTGGAAAACATATGGGTAGACTATATTAGAAGACAGAATGCTTTCCATTTGCACATTCTTTTTTTCTTATGCTTTTAGTTTAAAGCATCCACATGTTTCCAAAACAGATAAGCATCTATGGTGCATTGTTGAAACAAGGGTGTTAGGAAGGTTGAGATAGAACAGAGGTTTAAAAACCTTTCTTGTGGGTTAATTTAAGTTACTCCTCAGTTGTTTAAGAGGGAAGTATCTCTAGTCATCTTCTTCCAATGGATTATTGATAAACTAAAATCAGATTTTCTGTGAGTCAACATAGATTTTACATTCCTATTATTGGCTTGATAACTATACTTGGCAAGATTGCATGCAAAATGTAGTCTAGAGAGTTGAACAAAGAATCCCATTATACAATTATTACATGGGAGTCATAGCTTTGGCCATTAGATTGACCTATAATAGCATAGCATTGGATCATTAACATCACACAAAGTATGACAGTAGTTGAGTGAGATAAAGAAAGGCCAGGTCCTGACTGACCCTGTGGAGACCTACATTTCTCAGCTTAATGTAGCAAAGTAAATTGTTCTTTGGAGCCCTGGTGGCACTGTGGTTAAGCGTTTAGCTGCTAACCAAAAGACTGGCAATTCAAATCCACCAGCCACTCCTTGGAAACCCTATGGGACAGTTCTACTCTGTACTATAGGGTCACTATGAGTTGGAATTGATTTGGAAATGGGTTTGGTTTTTGTTTGTTTGTATGTTTTATTTTTTCTTAGTGATAACTTATAGGTTTTTTACAATTGATTACAAATCTTTAAATGAAATCAATCCCTGGTTGAATGCCTTTAACACTAGAATTTTTAAAAATTCTCTATCGATCATACTGATTCTACACGTGAAATCATATAAGAACCAAGAAAATCATGTATCCAAGTTTCAGGAAGACATATTTATATTCTGCCTATGCTCATGACATATTAGTTTATAGATTATTTCATTGAAAATATGGGATGTCTTTCTCTTTTTAACCAACAGAAAATCTTAACTTTTCACGTTAATATTTTATATGTTGTATAAATGAGTTGGAAGTATAAGCCATTCTACCACTAATTAGTCTCATACTCTTGATTTCCCATGGAGAAATGTGTGATGAATAAAATAAGTATGGTTGTGGACTTTCTTTAGAGTTCCTTTATCTTTAACTGTGAAGAGGAAATTTCTACAGGTTAAACTGTATGAGCTTGTTTTAGTTAACTGTACTAATGCAGTTTAACCTCTAGATATCAGTGCTACTCAGATCCTGATTCTTACATTTAGAAGGAGAGTCTAAGCCATAAGAGGAGGATGCAAGTTGAAAGTCAATTTTTTTTTTAACCTGGAATTTGAACTATTGGATTTTGTTATAAATTTATTGCTTATCTGTATTTGCCATATTTTCTCCTATGAGTTTATAATCTAAAAAATGCATTATAATGTCATTGTGTGAATACAGACATACAGCATACAACCAAGTGTCCATAGCTGGAGTTATTCTCATAGGTTCACCATCATAACTCATATACTGGCTAACAATGGTATTATTTTACTTAAAAAAGATTATGTCCGCAAAAGTTTCAATTAGGAAAGAATTCATAAGGGCCGTAACTTATTAGGCTTAAATATACTGTTTCATACACATCATAAAATTAATCAGTCATCTAGAAGAAGACTCTCACATTCTTTTCTTTTTTTTTTTTTGTATCAATGAAACACTCAGTTAAGGGACCAAATTGGCAGTAAATTTTCAATGACCATTATGAATTGAATTGTATCTCCTAAAAGTACTTGAAATCCTAACTCCTATACCTGTAAATATGACCCTGTCTAAATATAGGGGTTTTTCTTTTTTTATGTTAATTAGGTCATACCAGTAAAAGATGGATCCTAAACTTAATCATTTCTGAGTTATAAAAATAGCAGAGTAGACAAAGAGACACACAAGGGGAAGATAAGATATCCACTCATTATACATGCGTCTACAAACCCAGGAACTCCAAGGATTGTCAGCAGCTACTAGACATTGAAAGACACACAGAAGGACCTCCACCTAGAGTCACACCCTGACTCCAGATTCTAGCCTCCTGAACAGTGAAAAATTGATTTCTGTTCCTTAAAGTTACTCACTTATGGTATTTTTTGTATAGCAGCACTAGGTAACTAAGACAGCTACCTAGACCACCAGTCACACCAGAGTCAACTGTCTGGTATTTTCTTTGCAATTTCTCTCTTTTTAGGCTTTCCCCTATTTTCTCAATATTTTTTATTTTAAATTTTACTGTCTCATCTTTTACTTTTTTGTCCCATGTCTTTATACAAAGAGCTAAGGACAGGAGAGTATTTACTTAACTCTTTGTATAAAGACATGGGGAAGAAAAGAAAACGATGAAGATGAAAGTAAAATTTAAAAATTAAAAAAAAAACCTGGAGACAATAGGGGAAACCATGAAGAGAGTTTCTCTCTCTTCAGAGTTAAGGACAGGAGGGTATTTAATTGTTGGCAAAGAATATCAAATATACCATAAACTGCCAGAAGAATAGACAAATCTGTCTTGGAAGAAGTATAGCCAGAATGCTCTTTAGAAGCAAGGATGGTGAGACATACTCTCACATTTTTGGACAGGTTATCAGGAGGAACCAGTTTCTGGAGGAGGACGTCATACTTGGTAGAGAAGAAGGTCAGCAAAAAAGAGGAAGACCCTCAATGAGATGGACTGACACAATGGCTGCAACAATGGGCTCAAGCATAACAATGATTGTGAGGATGGGGGGGGCAGTGTTTGGGTCTGATGCTATGGGTTGGAACCGACTAGATGGCACCTAACAAGTGATTGATTATCTCAGCTCAACTCTGATGATTTTCATTAAAAGATAATACAGCTATTAA